AAACCGATGGTATATAAACCAAATCAAACTGTAGTACATATAGATTTAGAATAGTAGTTATATTTTAATGATCGAAATACCAAAAAATCGGACAAAAAATTGAGCCGAACCGAAACCCGATATCCGGATTGAGCACCTATAATCCGAATGAAACCGAACTATTGTTTCATTTTTCAAAACATAATAAAAATAATAGCTTTATCCCGCGCAAGGCGCGGGTCTTATCCTAGTATATACGTTATGGAACAATCAAACATTTCTGTTGCGGGGCTGCAAAACATAAATAATCAAATATATAAAAATATAAAATTGTTGTGGTGACAAACTGTATTCTTAAAAGTATATGATGGTAAAAAATATATATATATAAAATTCTAATACATATTGATTAATAATTTGTATTTACATAACACATAATTATTTTCTCATCATAGACTATAAATTTTTAATTTGACAAAACAATAAAAATCACCAACAAAAAAATAAGTCAGATTCAATACCAATTATGGAAAAACTATTAAAGATAATTTTCGACATGATCTGACCGTTTTGTATTCTGACCTCAATTTTAGTATTTTTACAAATTAATAAAAAAAGATTTTATTTAAAAAATGTTAAAAACTAACGCCACTTTTAATCAACGAAAAACAGAGCATACGTAGTATATAGTTTATATACATATTATAAGTCTGTAACATTTTATATATACATAATAAAACTTTTTTGGGCAAACTTTACACAATAAAACTAATTGTAATATGACAATAAACCACCATATTAGTTATTTCACCGAAGCCACAAATTTCTTTTACGTCCCAGCTGTAAAACATGTTCTTATGTCAAAGCTGCAAAATCAAAATTTTACTCGTAAATATCACAAATCATGTTTTCCCATCATAACTCAAAGATCTTGTTTTCTCACCAAAGACTAGTAAATTCTAATATATATATAGTTTAACTAGTTTACTGAATGATATTTTAACACAAATACATGTTTTATTACTAAATTTGTTGTGAAATGTATCTAGATGTTGTTACAAACTCATAGAGAAACAAGAATGCATCCAAATGCAATATTTAGATTTATATGCAAAACCCAGATAAGGAACAATCAACATTTTGATACAATCACCTATGACATGCAATTTATTAAGTTTAGTAAAGAGATAAATTTAAATTCTATGTATTCGTCTTTTTTAAAGATTTTTAGAGTTTTCTCAGTTTATATTATTGTTTCCAAACTCTTTATGTTTTGTGGTTTTCACTTAGAATTTTCACGGTCCTATGAACCAAATGGTTTAAGATTTAATCATATACTAGATTTTGACCCGCGCAACCGCGCGGGTGTTTGTTTTTGTTTATAGTTAGTTATATAAAAATTTTGTTTTCACTTGTAAATTGGTATATATTATAGTAATCACATATTTACGATATGTATAGTAAATATTTTTCAAACATAATAATATTATATAATAAGTGTTTTAATCAAATAGATTGTTTCAAATTTTCTATATTATACATGTTTACGATATGTATAGTAAATATTTTTCAAACATAATAATATTATATAATAAGTGTTTTAATCAAATAGATTATTTCAAATTTTCTATATTATACATGTTTTTCAGACATGTGTTTGTTTCTTCTTCTATATTTTATTGTTTGTTAGATTAGTATTTCATTTTAAGATAAAATAATATAAATAAAGCTTGATTAAATATTAGTATACTTTACTTTGCAAAGATAATATAAACTTCAAAGAATTTTTTGCTAAAAATTAAACTTATAGCTTCATAAATTAATATTATAAAGAATTTTATTAAAAAGGCAGTTTTTAAACAATTTCTTTAAAAAAATATATATAATTTTAAAAATTTACATCGAAATAAATTTATCAAATATATATATGGTGTAAATTTTTTTAGGGTATATAAATATTCCATATTACTAATCTGTGATTTTTGTTAATATATTGTGGATGCATTTAACTATTATTGACATATTTCCTTATAAATAGTAGAAGATTCCTAAACTTATATCTATTGACATATTTTGCGTGATTAAGTTGGAAGGTGTGGACTAATTTACCAAAACCAAATTGTTAAGCGTATCTTTGTTATTATAGATATGATTTTTCATAATATATAATAATGATAAGATTATTAGAGAATTAATGCAACATAACTTTCTAGTAATAGTCCATTTTTAAAAAAATCACACATGAAGTCAAGTCATGACTTCTGTTTTAATATATAAGATAGAGAGTTCAAGAAATGTATTCAAAAAATTGATATAAAATTTGTTTCAGTTTTAAAGAATACAAAGACAAACAACTTGGTTAAATCAGTTAAATCAGGGTATTGGTTAGCAACTCATGATTTTGCTGGGGATGATATTATTGCTCCACCTCCTGGTTCGATTGTTCTAAAAGCTAAAATTTGGAAGCTGGAAATTCTACCTAAAATTCAGCATTTTCTTTGGAGAGTAGTTTCGGGTGCTCTACCAACTTATGTTCAGTTATGCACAAGGGGAATTAATACTGACCCGGTGTGTCAGAGATGCTGTTTGGAAGAAGAAACAATTAATCATGTCTTTTTCCAGTGTCCCCATGCATTTGCAACTTGGCGTTGCTCTGGTTTCCCATCCCAGAATCTTAACCATGATAACTTGGAAGATAATTTAACTGAGATTTTTCAGTTCATGGAACGGAATGATACCCCTGCTCGCATATCCAAATATCCTCTTTGGATATTATGGTTTCTTTGGAAGTCACGGAATGAATTTCTGTTTGCACAAAGAAATGTTCATCCAATCGATGACATTCGTAGAGAAACGGTAGCAAATGAGGAATGGAATTGTCAATATATTTCTCCCAAGAAGGATCGGCCAGCAATTATTAGGAGCTCAGAGTGGGAACCTCTCCCTATAGAATGGTTAAAGTGTAACTTTGATTGCAGTTTTAGCAGAGAGTCTGCTATGGCTGGTGTTGGATGGATTGTACGAGCTAATGATGGGTCCTATCTCTGTTCTGGAATGGCTAAAATCCCAAATGTTACCAATCCGTTGTTAGGTGAGGCCTTAAGTTTACTGTTTGCAATGCAACAGGTTTGGATCCGTGGTTTGAGAAGAGTATGGTTTGAAGGAGACTGCTCTGAGTTGGATCGTATCATCAATCAAATAATTCTGCAGCACATTGATCTAGGAAATGTTCTTTATGATCTTCGACATTGGATGACCCTTCTACCGTTGTGCTACTTGGGAGCGGTAAACAGAGAACGTAACATGGCAGCAGATATTATATCTAAGAAAGCAATAGAAAACTCTGATGATGTAATTAGTTTTCCTGTTCCTCCTGTATGGTTACTAAAATATTTGTATTGACCTTATACGGTCTGATTTCAATTAAATGTTGTTTCAAAAAAAAAAAAAAAAAACTTGGTACACACTACATGGTCTCTTCCTACAGTAAACTGTTGTTAATTTGTATCATGAGTTTAGTTCCCCAAATCATTTTGAGTAATTTAACTTTTTTTTCTTTGATTATCTGCTTACAAAAAAAGATTAATATAAGAACATACATTATTGCCATTTCTTCATTTATATATTCTTCTACGAATATGCCATATTCTCCTCCTCCCCCACCCCCTCTTGTTTCCAGTTTTTTTTCCTCGCTAAACTCTCTAGCACTTCGCATAATTTTGCCTTTATATCTAACTCTCATCCTATTCCTGGCAGATTCATTGATACCCTATTGTTTTGGCTTATTAATATAATCCACCAATATAAGCAGAGTAACAAATAGAGTACGATTTTTCCGACAAAGTTGAATGAGATACAATAACTGAAGAGAAGATTTCCTCGGGAGAAAATAGAATTGAAGATCCCTTAACTAGAACCGCTAGTAGTTAGTTATTAACTCAACCCATAAAAAAGACAAAGCAAATATATATGTTTTGAACTCTCAAGAAAACATTATACGAACTCTATGAACTAAAGCCATAAAGCACCAGCTTCCTTGAGCAGCCTTTTCAATGACCCGTCAAGGTGAAGAGTCATAACGGTAGTAGCAGTTCCTACTAATTTCCCTCCGATGAAAACCACGGGAACCTGAGGGCTGCATCCCAACCGGGCTAAAGCCCACTCAATATTTTTACCGTACATGTATTGATCGATCTCGATAATCGCAGGGCTCACGCCTTGCTCATAAAACAGACATTTAATTGCATGAGACATGCAACATGTACTCTTACTGAATATTACCACTGCACTTTGTGACGCTAACCTTGCTACCACATCCATTTTTATAGTATATGTTTTTACCCCTTTAGTATATGTTTTTTTCTTTGTATCGCTCGGGTATTCTGTGTTGATAGTCTGTTTTGGAGAGGTGAGTCTTGAAACTCTATATATACACGCACCGATATGTAATCAAAATGAACATGTAAAGGCATCTTGGATTAATAATGGGGCAACGCTAAATATGGAGAATCTTATTTTCGGGAAGTTGGATTGTGGATAAGAGGTGATGATGATATGATGCTCGAGGGTTGACAAATCTGAGTAAGATACTAGTGTAGAGCAGTAAAGAGACCGATATGCATATGATAACTTGTGATGATGCATGAAGAGAAAAATTCCAAAGTTACGTGTTAAGGGAATGTCAACTTTGCATTGATTCTCATTTGACCATTACTTTAATGCCGCAGCGATTCACGTCGCCACTCCTATAGTCTTTAAAACTAATGACGAACTACAAATCAGCATCCGTAGCACCATAATTAAGGTTAATTAAATAAACCCCTAGAAAGGTGCCAGTTTATATATTGTTTTAGACTCATCTATATATTAAAAGCCTTTGTTAAAATATTAGGATTATATGTCAATGCCAAACTATATTCTTCTCGGAAATTTGACAATTGACATGATATATATTGTTCGAGGCGAATTTCAACCCATTACCTATCCGGTCCAAGAACCCAATTCAATGACCCGGGGACCTACAAGAAGAGGATGGGTCCACAAAGGCTCAAGCCCTATACCGAGCTCAAGAAACAGTCCATGCCGAGCTAATACATTCAAATCGCAACATAACGGAGGTCAAAGCATTAAAAAAGACTATAAGACACCTGATGCTCACCAAAGATTATGTTACCATTACGATTCGCTATCAAAGACTTATAAAAGAAAGTGATTATAGCTTTTTGCCTTCTTAAAGGATAAGTTAGAGAATCGGGTGAATGGTTGGACGGGTGGTTGTCAAAAGGGGTAAGGAGGTGATGATCAAGTCGATCCTTCTATCACTCCCAACTTATATTATGTCTTACTTTCTACTCCTATTGCAGATATGTGATACCTTAGCTAGTACTATTGCACAGTTCTGATAGAGCTCGAACCCTTTAAAAAGAGGCATACGCTCGTTAATTTGGGACAAATTATACTTATCGAAGGAGGAAGGAGGGATCGGGTTTAGAATGATTCACGAGTTTAACCTGGATTTGTTAGCTAAACAATTATGGAGGTTGGTACAGAATCTGGATTCTCTGGTAGCTCGGGTTTTGAGAGGCCGATATCGTTTAACCTCGCCTTTGCATCAGCTTATTGTCAGCAGCCCATCTTATGTGTGGACAAGTATATCTGCGGCACGAGAGTTACTTTTGATGGGAGTTAGACAGAAAATTCATTCGGACTATGAGGTGAAAGTATGAGAGGACCCATGGATTCCTACGATTCCGGCGCAGCCAGCGTCCTCATCTGCACCGGTTTTGCATCCGAACATGAGAGTGAGTGACTTTATTATTCAATAAACTAAGTCTTGGGATGTGAGTCGACTGGAGAATTATGTAGCTGCTGCTGACATACCTCTCATAAGGAGTATGGCCATCAGCTCAATACATCGAAGGGATACGTATTGCTGGAGTTATATGAGAAATGGACAGTACACAGTTAAATCTGGCTATTTGGTTGCACGGAATATACTGATGAAGGAGGATGAAGCTGTAGTTTGTGAACCTAGTATCACAAAAATGCAAGCACATGCTTGGAAGGTCAAGACACCCCAAAAGATGTGTCATCTTATGTGGCAAATAATAACAGGTCATATGGCTGTTACTAGTACTTTGAACTATAGACATATGAGATGTAAAAATCATTGTCCAAGATGTGGAGAGCCAGAAGAGTCAGTAACTCACGCTATTTTTCAGTGTCCACCAGCAATGCAAGTCTGAGCTTTATCTTCTACACTTACCAATCCTTCATTGTTTCCACTACAGAGCACGTATGCCAACATGGATTATCTCTTCTGGAGGAAGAATGCCATAATGGAACCGGAATTGGACAGAGATCCTTATCCCTGGATAATCTGGTATATCTGGAAAGCCCGGAACGATAAATTATTCAGAGGAATAGATAGAGATCCTTTGAAGTTAGCTCGCCATGCAGAGAGCGAGTGCCAAGCCTGATTCCAAGCTAATGAGCAGATTATATCGTCACCTCAAGGAGCCATAGATGTTGACAGCCAGACCATAAGCTTGAGAAACATCTGTATGGTAGATGGTTCTTGGACCTCTACAGCTCAGTTCAGTGGATGTGGCTGGGTTTGGAATGATAGTTCGGGAAATAGTCAGCTAATGGGTATGCGTAATTATAGTAGGGTGGAGACGGCTTTGCACTCTGAGCTGGAAACACTGCGATGTGCAATGGAGAATATGATTCAACATTCGCCATGCCAGAGCTTTGGGACAGACTGCAAGGAGATGATACCGATGCTCAGGAATCCCGATGAATGGCCAAGCTTCTCGACGGAGTTGGAAAAGCTTCAAACGCTACAGATTTATTTTCCAGATTTCAAGATCTTCTATGTTCCTAGGGCACATAATTCTGTTTCTGATTCTTTAGCTAAAACTGCTCGATCTTTCTATCGAGAACTTGTGTATGTTGGTTGTTCTATTCCGGTCTGTATTCTCAGACCACCTTAAGCTTGAGTAATAGATAAGCCTTTTGATGTAAAAAAAAAGTGATTATTTGCTGATGCACTCTAAATCGACCCCCTAATTTGCTAATTACACAAGATTCGACATTAACAAAATAATGACCATTTTGACCCTATTACTCCTACTTTCTCTCATGACACACTCTCTCTCTCTCTCGTGACATTCTTCTCACAGCCATAGAAATGGTGATTTCTCTTTTTCTATTCTTCGCTTCCCTTTCTTTTTTACCCTCAAACTCTCTCATCATCTTTTTTATTTTTTGTCATCCTCTCTTCTACTTTTGTTTTTCTTTCCCAGATGAAATATTTTTTATCTTGGAGTTTTCAAATTATTATTTTGTTATATATAATATTTCGTACTTAATCATTATTTTTTTGTCGATTGTTAATATTTTATGTATCAATTAAATATTTTTTTAAATGTTAACAGCAGTGTTAGCTGCTAACAAATAAAAGTACGAGATGTATTAACAGAGGCATTTACCTGTTAACAAATTTTAAATGTTAACAAATACATATACTATAAGTGTTAACAGAGGTGTTAGTTGTTAACAAATTTGTAAGTGTCAATAGATGTGTTAGGTATTATATGATAACAAATAAATATTGTTGAAGTTTCATTTCTCTATCAAAATGAGTAAATTTAAAAATCAATGATATATTATGAAGAAAAAAGAGAGAATAAAGTGTTTTTACGGATTGAAATTGTAGAAGAAAAGAGAACTTAGAGAAAAAAATTATAATAAGTAAACGAGTGGGAATAAAAAGAAAGAGTGTGTTATTAGGAGAGACATAATTGCAGAGGAAGAAAAGAGTGTTAGGAGGAAAAGATAATGTCAGATGAAAAAAGAGAGTGTCTGGAGGAAAAGAGAACGTCAGAAGATTATTAAGGTCCAAACTAAGGTAAAATTGTAAGGAAAATTGCTTTTCTGTCAAATCATTGTTACTTACTTAATATCGACTCTAAATATTGGTATTAAGCTAATTCTCTCTAAAAGAAAGACCAAAGACAAGAAGAAGGAGATACAAATTCTTCTAGAGTAATACTATTCTTTCAATACATGCATACATCTTTATTTTTATGTCTTATGATACTCATTTCTACTTTATTTTTAGGGAAATTTCCAGATATGACTCAAAACTTGGTTTCAAATGCAAAAGTAAACCCAAACATGAATCAAATGCAAAAGTAACCTAAAAGGCTATTGAAATTACAACCAGCCCCTTGTGAACAAACAAAAAACCCAATTTTTTTTACGTTTCTAACCCCCATAACTATTCTGTCCAGGCGACTTTCAATTAAATTGTCTGGACGACTTAGTTAAAAGTCATCTAGTATAGTTATTCTTAAAAATAATTGAAATTTTTTGTAAAAAATATTTTGATAAGTGAAAAATTGAAATCATGTAATTAACATATGTTTTAAGAGATATAAATTAAGATATAACAAAATTTCATTGTTTTCAACATAGATGAGTGAAAATGGTGAGTCATGATATTCTTTGGTTTAGATTTTGCCAAAATATGTTGTAGTATTGTATGTGTTTCTTAGGGTTAGATTTTCGAAAGCTATAAATGTTTTTTTGAAAAATTTTAAATTTACCTAAGTGTGTTTATTTATGTGTATAGTAAAAAATATTTAAGTATAATTTCATTTTATAACGTGGTTAGTTAGTTAATTTAGTCAATTTAGTTTAGGGTTTATGGTCTGGACGACTTACTATTAAGTCGTCTTGTATATATATTTAAGGCAGACGACTTACTAGTAAGTCGTCTGATGTATAGTATTCAACAGACGACTTAATAATAAGTCGTCCAAACCGGACCGAACCTTTGATTTTACAAATCTACTTTTAAACCTAACCGGATTTTATACCAGACATATATAATAATTTTTTTTACTCACTTTTCGCGAAATTCAGAAAACCCTAATGCCGTTTCTCTCAAAGGTGATTTCAAAGGCGATTTCCGTCGAATCTCTAATCAATTGTTCTCACCACCGGTTATCTCTCCGCCGTTATTACCGTCGTTATCACCGCCGTTTTGACCGCCGCGTCCTCTATTTCAGATCTGAGAGGAAACCCTAGCACCGTTTCTTTGTAAACCCTACCATTGTTTCTCTTAGAGGCGTTTCGTTGAACTCCGCCGCCGGTAAGTTATATCTCTTACTGTCAAGTGATTGATTAAGGAAAAAAGAACATAAAACATCCTTCTGATATGATGCATATTTACATAGTTTTAACATTTCATTTTGTACATAAATCATCATATAGATTTAGTTTAGGTATCTTTAGGTTCATATTGCATTCAT